ATGGTGAGATATTCAAGACAATTGCAAGATAGAATGGACTATTGTAAACTTGGGAAGAAAATTATAAATATATATCACAGGGTAACCTCAAAGAAAAATGATAAACCTTCACATCAAAATTAAAAAGAGGACCAGCACAAATATTTAGCAAATACTAAAACAATAGCAAGAACAGAAGTGATAACATGATTCATAAACAACATAAGCTCAGCACAGAAAATTATATGCGGCAAAGAAATCTGCAATACCACGCAAAAACACATAACAAAATGACAGCAAGAAATTCATACTTGTTGATAATTACACTGAATGTCAATGGATTAAATGCACCACTCAAGAAATGGAGAGTTGCAGACTGGATAAGAAAACATAACCCTTCAATATACTGCCTACAAGAGACACACATTAGAGACAAAGATAAAAATAGACTAAAAATCAAAGATTGGATAAAGATTTATCAAGCAAATGGCAATCAAAAAAGAGGAATGACAATATTAATTTCTGATAAAATATACTTTAATTCAAAAACCACCATAAGATACAGGAAGGACATTTATATAATGACTAAAGGATCAATTGACCAAGAGGACATAACCATGAAAAAATATCTATGCACCCAACAAAAGAACCCCAAAATACATATTTCAGACTTTAAAAGAATTGAGAAGACAAATAGATGATTCCACAGTCATAGTAAGAGACTTTAATACACCACTTTCAATGAAAGATAGAGAAACTGGAAAGTAACTCAACAAAGAAGCAGAAGATCTAAACAATACAGTTCACCAACTTGACCATAAAGACATTTACAGAGCATTTCACCCAAAAACAGCACAACATACATTCTTTTCCGGTGCATATTTAACATTCTCTAGGTTAGATTGTGTGTTAGGCTGCAAAGCAAACCTTAATAAATTTAAAAACTTTGAAATACTTCAAAGCATCTTCTCAGATCACAGTGTGATAAAATTAGAAATGAACAAGAGGAACATCAATAGAAAAAGAACAAACCCACGGAAACTGAATAACAACCTCCTTGAAAATATCTGGGTAATAGAAGAAATAAAAAATGAAATTTTAAAAATTCCTTGCATCAAAGGAGAATGGAAACACAACATAACAAAATTTTGGGGACATAGCAAAAGCTGTCATGAGAGACCAATTTATAGCAATATATACACAAATCAAAAAAGAAGAGAGAGCCAAAATAAACACCTTAATGCAACATCTCCAACAACCAGAAAAAGAGCAGCAAAAAAAAAAAAAAAAATGACATGAACAGATATATGTACACTTATGTTCACTGCAGTTTTATTCTTATTAGAAAAAAAAAAAAAAAAAAGGAAACTACCTTGGCATTGTGTATTAAATGTTTACCTAAGACTATAATCTCAAGTATAATGTTTGTTAAACATATACCTCTCTAAATTTATCACCACTAAATGATACTGCATCAAAATTGACTATAAATCTAATTCAAGAAATGTTTATATATATATTTTTAGTATAAAATACTCAACCTGATGGAACATCTTTCCTTTTCAAATATTATTTTCTAAGTTTCTATACAAATGGAATCTCTTTACCTCTGCATTTTAATGAGCCTTGCCATAATTACTGTACAGTGGCTTTTTAAAGATATTTTGTTGCACTAAAACTGTGGTAGTAAACTCAGTGAACATGATATGTGGAAGAGCATATTAACTGATCAATATTTTTGTCCAAAGTCCATATAAGAGTAATAAAATACATATCTTTTAACATGATAATTACTACAATTATTTTCATCTCTGGAAGAGAATTCTTGTATTGTCATGTGAATATGGATTTTGGTACATTAAGTAATAATTGTCTTATGTTTTTAAAATGCTTTATGTCCTGAACATAAGAATAATAATGAAAGATGGTACACAGTTAAATTCAGTGCAGAGAAAGCATTTCAGAATGTGGAAATACAAGTAAATTAGCATTGAGATAGCAGTTTTACAAATGAGACATTTCAGCCAAAAATATATACAAATAATTTTCTAGACCATCTTGTTTTTAGTCATTTAATGTTGATGTTGTTCAAACGGGTAAATGTGCAGAAAAAAATTTAGAAAAAACTTGGAAATTTTGGATTTAACTAGATAAATCTGAATTATAGAAACAATTGGTAATACTTTCTGATGGATATTGGCAAACCATCCCTTTTTTTGCTCCTAAATGTATGTATGCATTTCAAGATTTTTGTTTGTCCAATTAAAACTGGAAACATATCATGAGGTTTTTTGTTTTTGTTTTACATAATTCATTGAGTATATTCTTTCTAGGAACTTTGTATCTAAATCATCAAATTTAGGATAATTGCTTCTACAGTGGAATCCTGTGATAGTGTAATAATAATAGCACTATTTTGAAGCCTAAAAAATGTTTTTTCTATATATGATTCACTTGAATAAAGGACTGTTAGCATCGCCTTAGGTGTTTTGTAGGAAGTTAGAATTATAAATAAATTATTTTGTTAATGAAAAAGCAAAGTAGGTATTTTTTACTTTCCCAATCCCCCACCCCCACCCACATGTACCCCATCAAATTAAAAAAAAAGTTTTAGAAATGTCGAAGAAACTGTTAGAATTATGCAAATAGTGAAAGCATAATTCTAAATTATTATAAACTATAGTTCCCTGAATTTTAATAATTTTTGAATGAAAAATTTACTTTTCCCATCCAATTAGTACAAGACTAATATCAGGGTAAGGATTACAGTTAAGTAATGTTCATTGGTAATTTGTAAAAAGTATCTAGTTTTTAATACATTTAACCATTGATTTATAAATACTGAATTTATAATCATGGAAGAAAATTTTTCTTGATAATACACTGTAATTGAAGCAACTTTATTTTTTTATTTAAATGTCAGTGATGATTGTGGCCACAAGAACATGGGTCTAAAATTTCTTGCCATGGAAGTGTAAATTTGTGACTTTTTCCTCCAAAGCTTCATTTTTAGAACAATGGTTTGAAATGGTGTATGAATCTAAGCAGAATAATCACATTTAGGGTACTATATAAATCTCAGCTTGCATATAGTCTGAAAGAAATTAGCAATGTATTTCAAAAACTGTATTTCAGAAATATAAATACCGAATTATAAAATATGAACTTGCATTTACGTTGTAGCCCTTTGAGATTAGAGTTCTTTTTCCAGGGAGAGGGTAACATGAGAAACTAGGAGGTTTGATATACTCTATATCTTAACCAATCTAAATCATTGGGTAGCAAAAAAGGTTTCAGAATTTTGAGAATCTCATACTAGTGCTTGAGACTTTCTGAAGCATTTCACTGTTTCTTAGAACTTTGTTTACTGTACATAGAAACCTATTTGTAAACATGAATAGTCATATGAAATAAACATTTTTGTTAAATTAATTTTTGAATACCAGTGATGTGTAAAGCTAATTTAATTTATTGGTATATATGAAAATCATATTATCTTTTTGGCCATTGGTTTTTTTTTCTTGTGCTTTAAACCATTTTTGTATTCATTTTAAGATTTTTTCATATTGTTTAAAATACATCAATAATACAATGAAATCTATGCAACTCTTATTTTATTCCTATCATTTTTATTAAAATACATTGAAGCTACTTTTCTTGGTTAAGGGTTAACTTTAAAAGGTGATATTTGAGAAATAACTATAGTTAAAAGATAAATTTTACTAAGTGCCTAATAGGTTTCTATTTTATATATGTTTAATATTAAACCATTAAGATTTTTCAGTTGGAAGTATTGATTTTGATAGTCATGTATAAAGAAGTTTTATAAGGTACCTGTGGTTAAATGTTTTCCGCAGGAGCTGTATGAAGAATGGTATATAAGCACAAAAAGAAGTAAGAGAAATGTAGCCATTTTATGTGCTAAAACATCTGAGTTTAATATTCTTTTTGGTAAATACTGCTAAAGTAAAGCGTATGAACAAGTAAGAGGTTGTTATTGTATGGAAATAATATAAAACGTAAGGAAGAAATGCTACTCATATTGAAGTTTTTAATTCTAATGGAGTTAGAGACTGCAGATTGAATGGCTGTTCCTATCTACTTGTTAATAAGATCTTTAAATTGTTAATTGTAATTTTTTTTAACCAAGTTATATGGTAAAGGGTAGCCCCAGTTGTCATGTGACAAATCTTTAAAGTCTTTAAAAGATTCTCTGGAGGCGTGTTTCTATAATGAGCCTATATGGCTCTATATTCTTTGTTCTGTGATATTTGCTGGAGTTTGTGTGGCTGTATGTAAGAGTTTTCTTTATTTTAATGATATTTTGTGGAAATTAGAAAGCTGTTTTATTTGTGTTCCCAAACAAGATTATAATACCAGGTTATGGATACGGTTAAGTAAAGTTTGAAAGAGCTGGTAAATTGGCATGATAGAATTTTAAAATTTGATTTTAATTAAGTGTTTAATCCCTGTTTCACCTATATATCATGAATAACATTCTCCACAGCTATGAATTCTTTTGCCTTTGTAGTCTAGCATTTAAAATCACATTTTAAATATTTTCGCTATGATTTTGGCTTAGGTCAAATTTA